AATTTTATGTGATTTTAACAATAAGCTTGTGAAACGACGGAAAATAAAAGTATTGTATTGAGGTCTTGTAATGTTGATCTTAGTGTTGTTCACAAATGTACATGTTTTATTAATGATTTCTTTTTGGTCAGGATGCACTTTTAGCAGAGAGCTCAGCAAAGTCTCCAGATGAAGTAGTGCTGGAAGTGTCAGCTGATATATTGAATAAGCTTCCCAGGAACTTTGACCTGAATCTGGCTGTGGAAAAGTATCCTACACAGTACAATCAATCCATGAACACTGTGCTGGTCCAAGAGATGGGACGATACAATGTCTTATTGACATGTATTGAAAATAGTCTCATCAACATTCAGAAGGCTGTCAAGGGTATATATAACTATATGAGTTGTAACAAATAACAAGACTGTTTTTGTGAAAAGAAACACTGTATGTTACTACTGCACAGACAATATGCTGAAAATAATTTTTCAATAATCTGTTACATACTCTTATCACATTGCTTTCATTATCATTAAGTAATTTAAAATAAGACCCATTCAAAAAAAAATTTTTAGTTTCATAAACATGGAAAAGTCACATAAAGCTAAATCAAACAAGTACAGTTGATGAGCAAGTAAAGGGTGTCTATATTAGTATTATACTAATTTAAATGTAACATGTTTAATTTTGATTGGTAGTAAGTTTAATCATTATCTAGGACCCATTCATGTTTATATTGTTTTAAAACATGTTTAGTATTATGTTTGGTTTTGTAATGCACCAAGTTATAATAACAAAACATTCATTATTTAACATTGATTTTTCTAATGTCATACACAATTCCATTTAATAATCTTCTGGCTCAGTTAACTATTATTATATGGGAAGAGGGTATTTAAACACCCATTTTTGTGGGGCTGACAGCTTATTTTGAGTATAAATTGTATTACTGTAGTACTGAGAAAATGTTTCTATCCATGAAACTATTAGTGCTATAATTAAAGGCATTGAAAGAAAATATGTTGCCCAGTTTTACAATGTTATATTTTAATGGTACAGAGTTTTTTTTCTTCAAAACAGGTTATAGATTCCTGAATTAAATTAAAAACAGAATATATAAATATAGATTGCTCATATTTTATTACATGTTGTTCTTTTCACATTGAAACAGAAAATTGTTTTAGAAGTTTATTTTTATATTGAAAATACAAAACCACAGGTCTATACACAAATTCACTTTGCACTCTCTTCTTCTTTATTGAACAAACACAGCACTGCAGCTTGCCAGTATCCAGTGTGCTAGGTGCAAGATAAGTCAGTGGATTGGCTTGTGGGGTTGGGGTGGTTTGAGGTTGAGAATCCTTTCTTTCTATTCATTCATTTCCAACAAATTTTGAAGTTTAGTCAAAGAGAATTTTTGATGGTCTGTTTAGCAACTTGACTACAAGAAGATGTTAGAATGATATAACTATTTAATATTGTTAAATCTAGCAGGATAAAAAGTAATTGCTATGCCCACTTCCACATTCTCTGACTAATTGAATAGCTATTAGCTATTCTGTATTCTTTGTCAACCTAGCTCATGTGCTGACACTAGTTTTCAGCAGTGGCAGGGTTATGAGCTCTCCCACATTCATCATAGAAGTTTCTTTCTGCTGTTGGTTTATGCTCATTTGTCAGTATGCACACATCTCACTTGTCTTTCCAAATCATTGCTGTCAAGATACCTCTAACTCTAGCATGTGTGTCATCCCATTTACATTTTAGCATCTTATTATGAAAGTCCTC